TTAGAAAAATGGGTTCACGCCGGAATAGGAGGGGTCCTGATTAAATTGAGGACGCACTGATTCATAGAGCCTCATTGGATCCCACTGGAGGATGTGTTCCAACTCATGGTGACGACTTCCTCTGATTTGAAGACCTGGGCAGAGCCGAAGCTTCTACGACAGAGGGCGTCCATGGGACGCTGGTACCTTGCTTGGGGAGGTGTGCTCATGACCTACGAGCTGAATGCTGCGGGCTATGGTCCGGCTATTTCGTTTCTTCTCTGATCGGAAATTGCAGGTCGTTTGATCTTCTTTGAGTCTCTTGATTTGCTCGCGGGGCCTGCAAAGAATACAGATGTTTGACAAACCCATCTGGGTTCTATACTTGTTTGATGGCTGGTCCTGCAACTCAGCCAGGCGTTTTACTGACAAAGACAGTTGCGGATCCATGTGTTTTTTTTGGCTGACAACCCAGATCCCTGTTTTTGCCGATAATCCCAGACAATTAAAGATCCATGGGTTTTTTGGGTGGCTGACAAAGACGAGTGCAGGTTTTGCTTCTTCACGACAGTCGCGGACTTCCTGTCGGGCGCCCAGTGCGCGGCCGAGTTCCACACCCGGCGGTCGCTGTCCACGGCGGCAGAGGGCACTCCGAGCCTCGTGGAGATCGAGGAGCGGGGAACTCGGCGGTTCCAAGGGAAAACGAGATGGGTCAAAATGAAGCCACCAGGCAACCGCAGGTCGTCTTTGGTTCCAGAAAACCAGGGTTCCATTTTGGGTACCTATTCTTGACCCACAGCCATATGGCTGTGGCTGTCAAAACCGTTTTGGGATCCCATTTTGGGGTAGGTGAATTCACCACCCATTTTTGAACCTTTATTAGTGGTTGGATTGGGATGTTCACTGGGGGTACAAACTTTTGACCCATGACCATATGGGCAAAACGAGCTCACCCAGCAGTTCCGGGGGGGATGTAAATGAGCTTGATGTTCCTTGTTGGGGAATTCCTCTATATGTTTGGTTTCCAGGCAAGGAAATTTTGGCAGATGGGCCCACCCTATTTGGAAACATCTGAATGAATCGTGTTTCAACCCGCCAGTTGCTACCTGCTTTTGGTTTCCCTCCAGAGGGACTGTATAGGGCAACTGGTTGAAGTAAACTTCGCAACGCCTTGCAAGGCTTTACGGCGGCCGGCGGCAAGCCACTAAAAATCGGCAACGGAAACCGTGGCAAAGCGCCATCCAAAGAGTTGAAAACTTCAAGTGGCTAATTTCTTTGGCTTGCACATGGCTTGTGCCGGGGACTGGTTGTTCGGGCTCAGTGTCCCATTGGCTCTTGGGATCACCTTGGACCTTTGGAACCCTGAGGGCACTGGGCCGGACGATAGCGTGCTCACGCTGGGCCTGCATTGGTTGGACGCCAAGGCGGGGCGAGACATGCAGGGCGCAGCCGTTCTGCGGAATTTCCGCGCCTGGCGCGCCACGCCGTGCCAACTCATCAATGCGCGCCTCGGCTACAAGGAAAAAACATCAAATGAGGTGACTTGTTATTCGGAAAACACACATCATGGAATAAGTGCCTGTCGGCCTCCTTTTGATGGCTTATCGGCCTTCCCTTGCTAGAGCAACCAACCAGCAGGGAAACAAGAGGACCAGGATCGGACCCCCGTGGTCAATGGGAGCACACCAATTTGCATGCTGAAATGCGGGGTTGGTGGTGGCTGAATTGGACACCACCGCTTTAGTGAATTCCACTGGGCTTCCCTAAGAGAAGCCAATCAAAAGCAGAGACCAGGGAGGTTTTTGGGCATGTCTACTTCACAGATAGATTCTAAACCCATCCCGTGGAATGAGGGGCCAGTTTTTGGGGAACCTAAACCTGGGATCCGATTTGACAAGCAGTGAGGTTTGTCGCCAACCACATTGACCCTCAATGGAAGAGGGGAGCCAAATTGAAATTTGGGTCGATTCAGACAATTCATGAAGCCGCCGTTTGTTGGAACAAAATCCTGCACCAGTTGGTAGAAGTTTTTTCCATGTTTATCCCAGCGTTCACAGGATGTTCATAGAGTGTTCATCGGGTGGCTTAGGTGTTCATCGGGTGTTCATTGCACTACATAGGGACTCATCGAGATTCAGAAGGATTCGTCGGGAAATTTGTCCACCGGTTTGACTAGGTGGCTCTTTGCGGACGGCTTCGAGGGCAAGCGGGGCGGTCGGGCCACCTTCAAATGGCAGGGCACCGACTGGTGGGTGACGCACGTCTCACGTTTTTCTCCTCGGGCGCGTTTGTTTTGGGGTGTTTTATGTTTGCTGTTTCTGGGGGTTATCAAAGTCAGGCAGGGTTGTTTCCCTTTAACCTACTGAACGCAGGTGACTTTGATGGTAAAATAAAGGGAGCGCTTTGTTCATTGTTAAAAGGGTGTTTCGTACAGCTTTGCCTTTTGTTTGGATGGGGAAAAGGGTCGACAAATTTCATGGATACGAACTTTTTACCCTGTGTCTTTAGCCTTCGATCCTAGGATACCATGATGTACAATGTACATTATTGGTTTACCATTCACCTTGTTTTCTTACCCTCAAATCTGGGTTGGGCGACATTGTAGAACACCCCACATCAATCATCAAGTTGTTTGTCAACATGATTGTTGACTAGGAGTTGTATTGTTGCAGCAAATGCTGAACTAACTCTTCGATTCCTACCTGTATAATATCAAGCAAGCTTGGTCAGACTCACCTATCAGTCCCTCTAAAGGTCATTAGCCTCATATGTGGAGGGGTTGCCTTATGGTACCAACATAAAGCTCGCACAAAGGTTCGACCTCATCAACCTCACCTTAATTGGTGTGTCTAAATGAATAGGAGCACTCTAAGGGCCAACTTGCATGCCCCAAGGACAAAACCTAAAAAAACATGTGGTTATAATTACATCAGTCAGGCAGACGCTTTCCATCCTTAGGCCAAGTTTCGGGTACCAACACCGAGGATGGAGGCGCAGAAAGACCTCGCGCGCGGGTGGGAGACCTGGACCATTCTGCTGGGCGATGGCCTCGGGTTCTACCCGCTGGAGCTGAAGACCCCGGACGCGTCTCGGCTCGCGGGATGGTTCCCTGTGGGTTGGTTTAAAGGAAAGCCAAAAGGCGAACCACCATGGGGGACGGGGGGGAGGGGGGGGAAGGAAAGACACCTCTATGTCCAACTTGTTGGAACCTGGAGAAGCTGCAGTTTTCTTGTGGACGCCAGAAAGATTGAGGGGGAGATCCGGTGAACCCACAACTCAATGGCTGAGGTGTTTCGACTTTAAGCGCATCCCAGGAATCTGGAATTCGCCGAAAAAACATCGAACCCCGTCAGCTCATGTTCGGACACCTTGTGGGAAACCAGCAAAGTCTTGGAAGCTACTGGAAGGGGACCTTTACTTGACGTTTCTCAGGGAATGAGTTGGAATGACCCGATTTACACCGTCTCTTGTGGCTTGCTTTGAGGGAATCCCAATCGGTTCATTCCCAACACCCGGTCTGGGTCATTCCCCTATCGCACCAGCAAGTTTACTTTTGGGGGTTCCAGGAAGACAAAGGCAGGGCAACAGTATTGGGAGAAATGAGTTCCAAGTAGCCAGCCCAAAGTGGATCATTCTCGACTGTTCGGACAATGGCTTTTCATTCGGTCACGTGAACACAGGAACCAAAAGCCGTATCCACCGTTCTGCTGGTGTTCTTGCTCGTTTCCTAAATGGATTGTAGCCAGCATAAATGTGGGACCTTTGCTGTTTGAACATGTTTTGATTCAACCGCTTCCTTTGTTTTGTTTTGCACCGCGTTGGATCATTCGAGGCAGGGACGTCCTTTGCCAACCCCATTGTCAACGGAGACGATGCGGGCAGCTACATTGCCAGCATTTTTGTGCCTTCTGAGACCCACAAGCCAGGAACCATCGGCTCCTTGATATATCAGTTCGTGCCGAATGCCACAGCCCCTGCAACAAGCATTCAGGCACCGGACTTTAGCCACGCAAGGGCCAGCGCTTCAGCTTTGGTGAAATTCCTTGTCGGGCATGCCTGGCTTTCCAACCCCGCCGGTCTGCTAATATGAGGCGTCCCTTTCACTGCTTGGTGTTTGGGTACGGTGGGTTAAACCAAGTGCACGTGAGCGCCAAGAGCAAGACCTGCGAAGTGCAGGGCGAAGATGGACGCGACGTGTAACGCGGTGAAAAGAGATCGCCAGCAACTGTGAAACAGACCCCCAAAATTTATGCAGAATTACTGCATTTGTTTAAAGGACATCCTTTGCGGTAGGACTCGCATTTGTTGCACGCCCCTTTTCGGTTGTATGGTTTGTCAACGGTGCACCCGAGCTCCGAAAGTATCGCCCATCCTTTTAACATATGATTGCCTTGACGTCAACATGTGTACATACTCGAGGATCTGAATCCATTGTGTCTCATTCAGCTGCAGTTGGCTATGGTTTTGGCATGTTTTGTTCATGGGTGTTCCATGGTTTGAGTATGAAGCCTCTGAATCTTCCAGAATCCATCTAGCTGAGCCAGCCGACTTGGCCAATCCCAAGGGCCCGCCGAACGCCTGAGTAACGCCTGCAACCATGGCCGAGACAGCGCAAAAGATCAGATGGCCCCGCATCTGCTTGGTCGGAACGGAGCATTTGTTGGCTCAGCATTCCCGGCCTCCCTGCCACCAATCCCGAAGTTGGGGAGGACATAGGAGGTGTGCCCTTTGTTTAGGGGACCCCGCAACATGGCGCAAGTTTGCCTTTCGATTTTCCCTCAAAGCCACCAATTTTAGGAACCAGACCCATTTGGAATAGTTGGTGCGTCCGACTTTCCGAGTCTGGATCCAAAAACCCACCTGTTCTTTCAACCTGAAGTCGGGGCCAATTCGTTTGACGCTCAGTTCGACTCCGAGCATTTCCCCAAAAACAATGGGGAACTCCAGCGATCCATGTCCTTGGCGTGTCCCTGGCGCCAGCGACGGCGTCGGACTTCGCGCCCAGACTTCGCATCCGCGAGGTCTTCCACCTGAAGCCTGCGGCGCCGGCCTTCGCAGTGAGAAGCGGAGGCGGCCTCGGATCTCGGACCCAAGGGCAGCTTCAAAGACGGGTGCCTGGGATTTGTTTGGCTTCCAAGTGTTTTATTATTATATATTATTATTATTATTATTATGTTTTCTCGAAAACACTTGGAAGCTTCAAACATGAGTGACCCATTTTGTGATGTTCAATGTTTTGGTGTCCCTCAAAAGCAACAAAGCAAGAACGAAAAAGGGGTACCCACAACCAAAAGAAAGGCACAGTCTCCAGTGGGTTGACCAGTTTGAGAGATCCGAATTGTCGTCCTGGATCTCTTTCTTGGGGCTTCCGCTTAAAGTTGGCAAAGTCATGGGGAATCGTTGGTCTCCAAAATGGGATCCTTTGTAAAGGGGTTGGGTTCCCGTTGGTTTCCGCCAGCAACCGAAGCAGCCCATATTTGACAGGGTTCGACATGGGTTTCTTGCAAAATCGGCCCAACAAGGGCATGTTTGAACAGACAATGATATATATATATATATACATGTACACAATTATACATATGCACAAACCTATTTGCAGACAACACTTATGTTTGCGGGTGAGATTCCTCATTCGCTGTCCGAGCGCTTTTCAGGCACTTCCCATGTGCTCGCCCCAGGGGCTCGGGGGGGCAGGCCGGGATGAATCGAGCTCCCAATGGCAACGCTTGAAAGATATAGACATACAGTAGATGAATGAAGTCCGTTCGCACCACGAAATGAGTTGCCATTGTTGAAACCCTAACATTTGTGGGTGTTTTTAGGGGAATCGCGTCAGTACAGGGTTTCTGAACGGTGGTGAGAAATGGATTTCGCAACAATAGTATGGTCAATGGCAACGCTCAAGCAGAATGGCGACCTGGCAGTTGTTTCTTTTCGGCGCCCTGGTCTTAAAGCAGACAGACGGCCCAAAAACCCACAGGGCGAGCTGCTCCATTTCAGTTTGCGTTGCACTGACCGAGCTTTGAGGTCACTCAGCCAGCGCGAGACAGTCTAGGCTGGGGCTGTCAGTGCCAAGATGTTTTTGGGCGCCCCAATCTTATTGGCTATTTGGTTGGATCGTTCACCTTGAACTTGTTGGGAAAATGTGTGTGTGTGTTTTCCCACTGCCCAACAAAACAGTTTAAGCTTCTTGCACAGGGGGCAAAAGTCACAACAGCAATGTCGCAATTCAACAGCTGATGCCTTGTATATAGCGGAGTCAATGTGGGTCAGCAGAAACTAAGTTACTTGTTTGTGAATGGACTTTTTCAACTGGCAATGAGCATCATGTTTGCGCCAAAGTCCATTTAGCTGTGGGTCATTTGGGGGACCGGAATATTGCTCAACCCCCATTTGGCTGTGGCTCAAAATTTGGCACACCCAGGAATTGGACTGCAGGTGTTTGTCCATGTTTCCACTCACGAGGGCAACGCATGTTGGGTACCTATGTTTGCCCATGGGTAACTTTTCCCATGCGGGAAAGATCATCTGTTTCGTGGAAAATCGATGTGACCGATGTCCATTCGGAATTTGCCAGGCGGCCGATCGGAGACGTTGGCCGGGAGCCCATGAAACGGAGCCTCGTGGGAAGACCGCCGGGAGCCCATCTCAAGGGAGCCCCTTGGATTCCGAAAAGGGAACCCGAAATGAAAGCCATAGATGAGAGGTCCCCTTTGAGGAGTCCCCTTTGGGAAACACCAAACTGTCCCAGCAATGCAACCAGTTTGTGGATTCCATCCCTGGTTTCATGTGTACAATATAGGCCCTTCAGCTGCAAGCTGCCGCAAGCCGGGCTCAGAAGCGTTGAACCGGGTTGATGAAACACATTTGCCGATCTGGAAATGAGCAGGGACTCTCTTAGCCTTCTACTCAAGGCACACCTCGAGCTTATTTGTGGTCATGTTTGATCATTGGGCGGTGGAAGCCTGAGAATGTCAGAGAGCCTTGGCTCAGCCCAGGCTGCGCAGATGGCCCAGTTTGCAAACTCTGCCCTGGAGCGTTTGGATCATCTGAGCCGTGGGCCGAGATCGGACGACTTGATGTTCCGGGCTCTCTTCTTGATGGCTTTCTTGTTGGTTGTTTGATGTTCTGATTTGTTCTTTTGATGTTCTGCGTTCTTGTTGGCTTTGGTTTTAAGTTCTTCTTGGAGAAGTCCACGTGTCTTGACGTGCGCTTCCAACACGCAGGTCCCGGGCCTGCACGTCCTGGTGCGTTTGCATCCCAAGCGGAGGAGGCGTCGAACAATTGGAGCTTGCAGGCCCAGGTGTGGTTTCCACATGCCCGGATGGGAACAAATCTCCGCCCCAACTGCCCCAAGCAAAGGGAGCTCGTTTCACCCGAACTGGGCCCTCAACGCGGCAGAGTCGTTCATGGGAGCGCCATGATTCCGATCAGCATCCAATATCCCGAGGGGCCAAAATCCACTTGTTCCATGAAACGATTCAGAAGGCGAACGAGCACTTTATCATGGGGTGCCCGGGAGGCAACAAAGTCGACAGCCTGAATCCACTTTCGCCACGTGTTGTTTCTGCATCTGACGGATGTGTCAAAGCGAGCTCGCTTAAGGTCAGACCCCATTTTCAATCCTCAATGGACCAGGTCCCTTTTGGACGCACGCAGCAGCTGTCAGATACTTCGGCCACATGGGTAGGGTCTCAAAATTAGCGGACACCCAAAACAGCGTTGTTCCTTTTTTCTCTTTTGTTTTTTTGTTTCGTTTATTTGAATCAGCCTTAATAAGAACCCCCCAAAAGACGTAGCCACATCTTGCAGGCACCTCCACTGGCCGACACTCTGCGGCTCGCGCCGATTCCGCCGGAGCCGGCGCCGGCTTCGGAAGCGGAGCGGGAGGAGCCGTTTTGTGAGGGCCGAAAGGGCAGAAGTCACTGCGACCTTTTGCTGCAAGAAGCTGAATCGAGATGTCTCACGTTTGATCCAGTCTATCCGGGGACTGAAATTGGGGTGGTCTTTCGTTCGATCGAAGCAACCTTCGGAGGTGTTGGAAACTTGTTCGTTCCCGAAGCAGATCACTTTAGGGGATCAGTTGCTTTGACCAACCCAGCGTTGGATTTTGGGTCCTGGGTCCAGAAAGCAACTGGTCCCCCACCAGGGCAGAAAAGCCAAACAATCAGATAACAAAGAATCCAGAAACCAAAAACCGAAAATTTGATTCAATGAGATTGGTTCACGTTGAGCTTTTTCACTCCGCTCCGGCTCAGGAGGTCTTCAGTTCCAGGCGGGACCGCGGAGGCATCCATTGTCAAGCCGAAGAAGAACCCCGCTTGCGACAATAGACACTGTCATGATTGGAGGCATGGTGTGTGTTACCTTCACTTCTTTCGGAATAAATATGTCTTGAGTGGCTTGATCCATGGAACTGAAGCTTATGACCAGAATCTGTTCCATCCGATCGATTGGGCTAATCCTTATGACCAATTCTTTGGACTGGATGAACCTTATGACCAGAATCCAATCCAATCAACTTTCCTTGTCGGATTAGGATCCCATGTCAGGAGACTCAGAGGAAGTGTGTTTCGCAGATCTCGATTTTGCCGGCACAGCGAAAAGTCTTCGGGTGGGAGGTGAGGATCCGGAATCCGGGTGCACCTCAAGTGTTATGAGCAACTGACACAAGTACTGGTGATCTATTGTTCGTTTGGGAAGGGCATCTCATTCCCTAAGTTCATGGACTTAATACTTTTTGGGAAGACCATGGTGGTGGAAAACACAAAGAACACCAAGCTTGGACTTTGTTTGGCCCATCCACTAAGGAAGTGAGGCATGGCAAACCTGACTTTGAGACAAACATCAGCCCCCCATGTGGGGGTTGATCAATATTCCGTTCGCCCCCAAAATGTTCATGGGAAACTTTTTCCACGTGGTTTAAACATATCAAATATATGTTTTGGTGATTTCCTTTCTCATCCCATGTAAAATCCGTCCCTTTTTCATCAACCCCCATGCCTCTGTCGAGACCTTCCGGAGACAAAGTGCAAGCCTGCCAATGCCCTTCCACCCTTCAAGTCAAGAGAACCCTAGGCATACGTTGGAGAGAATCGATACCCTAGATACATAGCTTGGTGAACACAGTTGGAATACAAGCAGAAACCAAACGGCTCCGAACAGGAATGAGCCAACCTTTTGTGACATGTTCAACCAACCTCCTCATGGTTGCCCTTAGGGAATCATGGTGTGGCTCTCACCACCAAATTTGCCCTAACTTCCAAAAAAAACACTCAACATCGAAAATCGGCATAAAAGGAAGGCACCAGACCCGCAGGTCTCGCGCAAAAAGCCGAAAAAAGCCACGGAACCCAACCCCCGAACCCCTCAACCCCTCGACCCCCCAAGCCCCCGAAGCCCGGGCTCACATCTCCACTCGGAGGCCTGCCACACCGGATGCGGGGATGGCGCAGACTCAGCCCGCAGGTCGGGGCTTTTGGTTCGAGGATGCGCGATCCTAACAGATTTGAGTGTTTGTGTGTGTGTGTCTGTGTTGTTAGGAAGCCAAAAGGAAAGCCACCATTGGGGTGAGATGGTGTTTGCGAGCCATGATCGGACGAGTGGCAAAGCCCTCGCCCTGTGCGCTGTCAATCCCGTAGACGGATTGCTTTTGGTACCGGCGGTTTGAAGACCAACTTATTCCGAGTTCCCCCCGGTTGATCAGGCGCAAGTCCGATCCTTGACTCGCACCCGGCATTTTGGGTTCAGATGCGGAGCCGGCGCCCGACATTTCTGGCGAGGCGCGTGGTAAGTGTCGCTCCGAGTCACTCCGAGTTGAAGTCCGGGTGTGATCAATCTTGAGAGCCAAAGGGGTGAAGCCTGTAGAACCTTATGACTAATCCAATGTAATCATGGTCTCATGCAGTTGCAATGCGCCTTTGTAGGTTGTACATGTTGCATGTTGAGTACTTCGTGGCGAACACCCAAAGCTTGAACTGCCACAATCACGAAAACACAGCCAGCTCCCCCATTGAGCGAGCTCAGGCTTCCCCTGTGACGGAGGGCTTTTTTGGAATTCCTCCATATAATATATATGTATATATATAATATATATATATATACCGGTGTGGTTTCGATTGAACTTAGGAAACCCAAAAGCAAGCCAACCATGTTGGGATCCAGTAAAAACAAAAATGGATGACAGCAATTGGTTGGTCCAGCTGGTGATCTTTTGCCATGCTGAGTCTTCAACGGCCAACTGGCCACAATTGAACAATAGAAAGTGCAGACAAAATGAGAACCCCTTGAGTACAGATTGGCCCACACCAGAACAACTGCCAGGTTCCGTCAGCTGTTGATTGGTTTGAACTGGTACAAACGAGTTTTTCTTTGGGGCCTAGTTTGGAATGGTTTGACCACTGTGCGTTGCCCTTGCCGCATTTCTCGAGCTTCTCGCCTCGTAGGCGAGCTCGGGCGACATCCTGGGGGACTTAGGCGCCCGTTCGAGCTGTGCGATGAACCTGACGGATCCATCGCCTGCAGGAGGTTGTTGAGCCTGATGGGGCCCCATAAAAAGGTCCTGCAGGTTTGACAACTTTTGAGATTGTCCTGTTTGAGCTGGACTGTCTGGTGAAGAGGGCCCATTGACCCGGCCCCAAGGAGAGAGAAACGTGCCCACGGACTCGGCCGTGGACGTAGATCTTTGGTTCGTGTGGTGGGGTCGTGCTTAAATTCTTAAGTCCTCAGTGGACATTTTTATGCATGCAATTTGGTCAGAGCAACCTCTCGAGATCGTACGCATCCCAGGCTCCAGTTACAGTTGGCAAGTCGGGTTTCAGGTCGCAACTTTCTGAGACATTGGGAATTTGGCCTTCACAGTAACAAACATGTCATAGGGATGGGCAGCGAAACGGTATCGCATAATATTATCTTCCAGCCACTGGATCACGCAATTAAGTTATCTCATGGATTGATCCAAGAGACACCAAGACCTGCACGCCAGGCATCTTGGACGTGCCATTGGCGCCGCTTCCTGCCAGGACGGGGAGCGATCCAGAGCCTCGGCAAATGGCCTTCGCTGGTTTTGGGTCAGCATTGTGTTTTTGGCCTGATAGAGGTGTCACCCCAGGTGAAGCCGGCCAAGAGAACATCCAGGAAAATCCCAGAATAGGCTTTCTGCCGAGTTGGGTCAGTTGATCCAAAACGAAGTTCAAGAAGCTTGTTCTCAGATATCGCAATAAAGGCTCATTCCCATTTTCCATGAAAAACCGGCTTCCCCCAACCAAGGACACTCGCTGGCTGAAGTAGTTTTCGGTTGCTGGACGCTGGACAGTGGGGCTGACTCACTGCGGAGGCGTTTTTGCCACGTGTTTCAAGTGGAGGAAGGGGAGCCATATGAGTAGCATAAGTATAAGCGTGGAACTGTTTGTTTTTCAAGGGTACGTTGTTTTGGGTTGCTTCAATTAGAAAAACAGTTTTGTGTGTGCGCGTGTGTGTGTGTGTGTGTGTGTGTCCTTTGTGTCCTCTCTGCGTCCTCTTTGTGTCCTCGCTGTGTCCTCTCTGTGTCCTCTCTGTGTCCCCTTTGTGTCCTCTCTGTGTCCTCTCTGTCTCCTCTCTGTGTCCCGTGTGTGTCCCTTCTGTGTGTCCTCTGTGTATCTCTTCTGCGTGTCTTCTGTGTGTCTTCTGTGTGTGTGTGTGCGGAGTGGCAGAATACCCTGTCACCACTATTACTTACGCAGGGGGACACAGCACTTCACTGGGACTGTGTCCAATGAAGCTACCAGTGAAGTGGGATATTCAGCTTGGCCAGCTGGACGTACCTGCATCAGTGATTCTGAAAGTCTATTTGGCCCCTTGGTTGCGGCGCTGTTTGTGCTTCTTGTTCTTTCGGGTAACGTGTTCGCTGCTAGACGGAAGCCAAGTGACTGTGAGCCGAAACTTATTTCACTCGAGACTTATCAGTTGTACTCGAGACTCATCAGTTGTACTCGAGACTCATCAGTTGTACTCGAATGACTCGCATCCTCCCTTGCAAGTTGAAGTGTGTCTCTCTCTCTCTCTCTCTCTGTGTCTTTGTGTCTGTGTCTGTGTGGTTGGTGTTTTTGTCTCTGTGCGTCTGTGTCTTTCTGTTTCTGTGTGTCTGTGATTGTTTGGTTGTGAAACTGTGTGATTGCTTGATTGGGTGAGTGACGGTGTTGTTCAGCCTGCATGACGGCCACATCTGCCAGGCCGAGCACGGCTGTTGCTCGCACCTCTAGCAACGACGCTTGCGGCAAGAATGCAATGGTTTGTCCTAACAGAAGTATGGCCCCTCACACAGCTGCGTGCTTCTGATTTCTCTTGTAAACTAACTTGAATGGTTTCTGCATTTTAGCACACACACACACAGTCACACACACACGAAATCAGTGAAAGAGACTCTCAGAGGTTCTGGAGGGTGTGGGTTTGCAAGGGTCGCAGCACAAGCCACCTTCACTTTGGATGCGTTTCGTGGGATGCAATGACTAGAAGGCTGAGAACAGCATAGCGGGTCTCAGAGCTGAGGACTGGTACGGAAGCAGCACCAGCACTACACCTAAGGCGCAGGAGGAGCTGACCGCGGCTGAAGATCTGAAGGCCTCACTGTGATGTTTTCTCCTGAAGATCCGTCCAGGCAAACTGTTAAAACCCTCTAGGCCCCGTGCCGAAATTGGGTAGCTGTTCTGAGGTCCTTGTTGGTGTTGCTTCCCAAGTTCCATTGATCGCCATTTGGCTCAAGACACAATTGAGGTTCAAGATCTGATGTGTGACTGCATACATACGTGATCGGCATTGAGAGCGAAAACACTTTGCTTGCGCTGCATTTGTCAGGACCACTGTTGTAACTATCATTCCTTCTCCCTTACAACGTTTACACGGGTTCGGCTATAACGGCATCGTCCGTATACACCTTTCTACGTGGTTGGTATTACAGCTTGAGGGTTCGGTGCATAGCGTCCCACGGGACGTCACCTTGCCGTCTCTTGACAGGTTATCAGCCGTAACTACAAGCTCTACACTGGACTGGGAGACAGCTGGTTTATTGCGGGTACAGGGACAATAAAGGAACGATAACCTACACAGTACAATGGCGTCTTCGGCGAGCCCAAGTACTGCAACTTTTGGGAACAGCAGCTCAGAGGGATCCAATGGATTGATGGCTCTTCCTGCGGTGATGGATATGGTTGCAGATTCACAGGACGAACCTGGGAGCGGAGGTTCCGCGCTATTCAGCGACATATCTACTCCCACAAGATCATGGAAGCAGATCGATGTTCATCAGGAGTCGAAGAAAAGAGAATCCCCACCGAGAAGATCATCATCTTCGCCTGCGACACCACGGACGTCGCAGAAGGGCGTGAGATCGACATCGAAGGGTGGGAGGTCAAAATCACCCACCAGTGCAGATTTTCGCGCCGTGATCAAAGAGAAGAATAAGATGGAGGTGGAGATCGGGGAATATCAGAAGACACTTGATGAAATGTCGGCAGCAATGGCGAATCTTAACCAAGAAGACTATGGAAGCACCATCCGGATCCAGGAGCTGGAAAGACGATGCGAGATTGCCAGCAAGCAGTCGGGACATCTAGTGAGTCACCACCAACACCACATGGCTGAGGCATGGCGCAAGTTTGAGGAAGAAGCCCAACAGATGCGCAAGGTGGAAATGAACGCATTTCAGTACGGGGAGAAGAAAGACATGGAGTCGAATATTATAATGCAACAGATGAGGCAAGCTGAAGGAACTATCATGGAGCAGAAGCGGGAGATTGCATTGATGAAATCCTACATGGCAAGCGAGAAGTCGGCCGCGCAGGAATCAGCTATACGTGCAAATCAGATACACCGTGAGGCTTCACAACAGATATCAGTTTATCAGCAACAGATCAGAGGCATAGAATCTTCTACGAGAAGTTCGAAGTTCAAGGAGGAGGTCCAAAGTCCAAAATCACAAATCACAGTTGGAGCATCAAGCGCCCCGAGACGTACTCTTTGGAGGACTCCAGGGAACAGCTGATGGCGAGGCTGAATGACGTTAGTATTTGCGGAACAGGAATCGAAGAGAGCAGATTGCTTGCTTCGCGAAAAGGAAGAGATCGTCAAACAGTATGAGTCCGACGTGTCGATGAAGGACCAGATGATTGCTGTCGAAGGTGGTCATCGTCAGGATGCGATCTTGGAGTTAGCCCAGGTCAAAGAAGAGAAACAAGAGGAACGGTGCACGATGGACGAGAAGTCGAAGGAGGCTGAGTACTGGAGATTGACAGCTAAGGGAATGTACGATGAGTACCTCGAGGAGATGCATGAGCTTCAGAGACAACTGAAGGAAAGAGAGGCGACGCTCAAGCAAGAAGAGAGTTTTGTACGCCAACTCGATGCTGACAACGAGGAACTACGTGCACACAAGAAGCTGGAGACACAGGAAGCCTCCAGCAGCAAAGATGGACATCGTGAACGAGCAGTAGTGAAACGCGCTGAGGGAGGAACCCAGGCTAATTCAAATAGGATAGACAAGAAGGTGGCTGGGTCAGTCCCGTCATCGTCTTCAAATCAAATCCCTAATTCGTCGCTGATGCCAGGTTCGATCCTCTTTCCGTCTTTCGGTGATCCAATGATCGATGTACACCTATCCCAGATGCAAGGGGTTGTTGGGCATGTCCCACAATCCACTACTACGACTGGTGGTGGTGATGGGGGGGGAAACAACGGTACTACGCCCCCATTGGATTACGGTGGATTCCCGCCCAATGGGAATGGGCAGGGAGCGGGTCGACGTCAGTTGAGCCTCGCTGGTGGCGGAGGAGGACCTCCGGATGATCCACCCGATGATGAGGATGAGGATGACGACGACGAAGGAGATGAGGAAGACGAGGAAGAAGAAGAGGAAGAAGACGATCGGACACGGAGGAGACGAAGGAGATCGAGAGATAACCGAGAGATCAAGAATGATCGACCGAGAATCTCGAGGAAAGAGGCCGAGAGAGTATCTATTCCGGCCTGGCCAAAGATCCATCAACTTGATACCTGGAAGATGCAACTGCTGATGAATGTTCTGAGCGCATGTGCGGATCCAGATACCGACGCATGGACGAAATGGCTGGAGCAGGCTCTTGGGTTGAACCCAGACCTGGATTTGCTTAGCGATTCAGGTGGCGACAGATTTGCTACGATAGATATTAAGATGGCCATGGGCATGCAGAACATGCTGAAACAAGCACCTGACGAAGCCAAGGACGTATACCTCGATGCTACACGACACTCTGAACTACGACATCAACAAGGGGTGATCGTGAAGGGACGAGAGTTGGTGGCATTAGTTATGCAATCATTCAGAACTTCCGATAGAACGGATCTTGTCTACCACATCGAGCATCTATTCAACCTTGACTTTCCTGGCGACAAGAACTTGGTCATGTTCAGGAACAAATGGTATGATTTGCTGCTGAAGATGAGGAGCGAGGACAGACCCAGTAAGCTGGCTCTCAGAGACATCCTTTACAGGAAGATCAAAGGGAGCAAGAAGATGGAGTTCGGCCTCAATGCCTACCATAGACTACCGGACAAGCATCCTCAGAAGACGTATGAATTCTTATTGGCGTTGATCGACTATCAGATCAAGGCAGATCGGGAAGACCTGATGCTCGACATGAAGGAGAAATCGGTCAAGTCGATGATGAAGTCAGGCGGGAAGGATGCGGCTCCAGCAACTGGCAAACAGGAGAACCAGGGTGGCAAGGGCAGAAAGGGGAAACCCGGTGGACCTGATGCCGCTCCTGTGCTCCCAAAAGCCAAGGCAAAGGGCCACGCTGGCAAGAACGGCAAGTCCGACGGTGCCAGCGACAGAGGCAAGAGTCCGGGCGGAAGCAAGGATAACCCCTGCTGGTACCACTTCAAATCGGCGAAGGGGTGCGTGAAAGGGAATGAATGCACTTTTTCCCACAGCAAGAAGACGGAGCATAAGTTGGAGAGCATGTCCAAGGGGAAAGGAAAGGGCAAATCCAAGTCCAGATCATCGTCACCAAAGAGAGATGATGGAGCATGCTTCGCGTTTCAGAAGGGGAAGTGCGATAAGGGAAGCGCTTGCAAGTATAGGCATGAGCTCATCAAGAACAATTCAGCTCCAGCAACGTCAAATGACAAGGCGCAAGCCAAGTCGAAGGCTGCCGCCAAAGCCGCAGCGCCAGCCATTGCAAGGAGGGCCATCGCAATGCCCGCGATAGTCCTGAAGCAATCGGCTCCTGCAGGGAAGGTAAGCTTCAAGAAGGACGTTGATCAGGTCGAACCGGACGAAGCCGAGACTGTCTACCACGAGCACGATGACGACGCGATGAGCGAATCATCGAGATGGTCTGGCGAGTCCGAGATCCCCGAGAAAATGGTGTGGTTCAAGGAAGTGCTCGACGTCGACGAGAATGGGGAGATCACCTACCTCGAAGACGAGAGAAGGCAATGGGAACGAAAAGGGGAATGGTACGGTTATGAGGACAATGAGAATGAGCCTTATCAGTACGTGTACGTCGACGAGAAGAAGTTCAAAAGCAGTGATCATCGTGAATTATCAGCCTATCAAGTCCAACGATCATTGATACGTGCGAAGATACTGAGAGAAGTGGTGGATGATATATATAAGAAGCACTACTTCCCGGTGACCAAGGAGAGCAGCATAATGTTCGAGTATGATCGGAACAAGGACGAGATCAAGGAATCGGCTGTCGACTGGAAGAAACAGCATGGTATGCCGAAGAACGTTTTCGCCATGTCAACGTGCATCAGCAAACGGGTGAAATGGTTGATGGACACCGGATGTGGTCATGATCTCATCGGAAGAGCCAAGGCGAAGAGCCTGGGTGTCGACATCGTGAAAGATGACGACGAGATCGTGTTCCAGACCGCGAATGGTTCCACTTCCACATCTGATGTGGCCAAGATAGTCGTGGACGAGTTGGACGAGACTGTCGAGCCGCATGTATTGGATGAGACACCCACGGTATTGTCAGTGGGGAGGAGATGCATGAAGATGGGTTATGCATTTCACTGGATGCCTGGTAAACTACCTTTCATGGTTACGCCAAAGCAGGGATTCGTGCACTTGCAGGTCAAGGACGACATCCCGTACCTAGTGAGTGATGGTAAACTTCGGAGTAACAGGCATCGCCCTACGATAGACGACCTCAAGGAGCACTTTTCGGAAGTATTGGCGATGGTAACGAACGACGAGGCAGATCAGGGAGGTGACGATGAGAACGACGTCACACCCGCCGCTGTCGGTGAGTCCGCAGAGGCCGAGGGCGAACACCACGACGGGGCATTCGACTTCGGGCCACCCGGAGGAGCCGGTCCGGTACGTCCGCCTCCCGTGGCTGAGGAAATACCTGTAGATGTTGGGTCAGTCCCGCATCGACATGGTGATGCCGAAGCTCACGAGGAAGAGGTTGATGAAGATGATCCAGATGCCGGAATCGAAGTAGACGTGTACGAAGGATCATCAATAAAGAGGAAAGTGGGAGTCCTCAAGAAGGACGCCAACTCCATAGCTCATTTGCTTACACACAGGTACCGAAATCCTTTCTGCGAATCATGCGTCAAGGCAAAGATGA